ATCTCCTGGAAAACTAAGTTAGGAAATTTTTCTGAAACTGACTTTCGCTTACGAAAAGATGTCTTAAAGTGTCCTCTTTCTAATGCTGAAAACCGCACTTCATTATCTATCTCCCGCGAGGAGTTATCCGAAAAGCAACCGACAGCACGACCATTTGGTACGGATAGTAGTAAGATGATGAGATAGCTAACAGTTTCTGCGCAGTACCTCTTTCCAAGCACAAAGTCTCATAACAGTAATAAATGGTCCATTTTCTAGCTGACTCACCAACGTCTGTATGTGCGACCAGAAAAGCTTTGTACAAAAAGTTCGTTTCCTAGACAAGAAAAATTTGGGAAATCTTATAAGAATCTCATAAGAATCCAGAAGAATGTTTTACTCGGAGATTGATGCACTTCCATATTCGACGAATCATAACTCTGCGATTGATGTTGACTACAACGATTTGAACTAGACCAATATGAATTTGATGATGTAGAAGACGGTATTGTTGAAGACGAATGACGATGTTGTGATGATGTAGACGTATGATGTTGAGACGGCTGGTGCTTGTTGGGATTAGAATTGTTATACTGATGCATTTTTATATGAAAGCTACTAAAGAAATAAAATAAATAAACATATGATTAAACTAAGGCTCTAGCATTCCTTCATGCTCAGTTGCCAGATAATTGTAAGTCATTCTCAAGATAGCGTGGTCTCATTTTTAATCTCAACATTTAATGAAGTCTTCTCTATCCACTAACGTAATACAGTTGATCAAAAGTATTAGATCAGTTCTATAATAAAAACATAAGACCGTCGAGTCTTCGGACTTTACACATGGGTCGAAGGAATCAATGGTAATTAGTGTTATGTCCATAACTGAAAACTCAGCCGAAAACGGAGAAAAGATGAAACATTATGCGGGTGGATGATATTTCGAATTCCACTTAGTGATGATAATTAATTATTTAAGGTTAATGATAGTGATATTGACCAAGAGCAGCTATTAAGTTTATTGAATTGTTGAAAAGTTATCAGGTTTAAGATCTCCAACATGTACCCGTGATTCAATATTTGTTTCCTCATTTAGTACAATATAAGTGGGGTGATTACAATATATATTAGTTTTTGGTGTCAATGAGAATTTTAGATCTAATTTTCCTCTCATGCCAAATATTCTCATTCATACTCCATCCCCTATTTCACAATGTGGATCTTGTCTGTGAATATCGTATCTTTGTTTATTGACTTGTTGTTGTTGAATTATATTCTCTTTAGCTACTTTATGATATATATTTAGAGTTTTCTTCAGTTGTTTAAAATAGTCATTTGGTTTGTTGAATGTAAAACGGTGTGGTCGCCAGTCAATTGGAAGACGAGGCTGTAGTCCACATAGAAGTTCATATGCAGAGAATTTTGTTGTTTTATGAACCCCTGAGTTATAAGCAAAGACAACCGCCTGAAGATATTCATCCCAATTGTTATCTTGTGTATTTTGCAATTTTGAGATTTGAGGGACGAATGTGCTGTTAAAACGTTCCACAATACCGTCGGTTTGAGGATGATAGGGTGTACTCTATATATGATTATATCGAATTAATTTTTGAATATTGTGTATTAAGATATTTTGAAAATGAGGACTTTGGACGCTGATAACAACTGCTAGTATTCCGTATTTGCAGAAGAAATTATTAAAGAGTGCATGAGCGGTGGTTTCTGGTGTACAATCGAGTAGAGCAAGTGCGGTGGTGTGACGAGTGAAGTAGTCTGTTATGGCGAGCACGTACAGATTTTCACAATGAGTCCGTTTAAATGGACCGCAAAAGTCGATTCCAACGAGCATAAGTGGACCGTCAGGTGGTGGGATGTGTTTAAGCTGTCCATGCTTTTTATGACGACTGACGTTATTTTGCTGACATAATGCACAAGATTTTATGTGCATTCTGATATCATTTTGTTTAGCCACTAATATTTGTTTTTGATTTTATTGTATATTCTATCTGTTGGGAAATACCTCCCGTCATTGGATCATTATGAGTAGCTTATAATAGTGATTTTATCACTGAATTCGGTAAATAAATAACTTGAATTTTAGTTTTAGAACTGGATGATGTTAGCACAAGTTTGTATAAAATATTATCTCTAAGATCGAAGGAAGGCGATTTGGGATTTTTATGAAGTTCTTGTATTGTTGTTCGAATGTCGTGATCCTTATCTTGTTGTTCTTTGAACATCATAACGTCAAAATAATTTGAAGAAAAGTTAGGTGGGATACGTGTTATCCTTTTGCGATCGTTTTCAGATTCAGAGTCAGAGACAGTATCATCCTATATATCACTAGTAGAAGTTATTGCTTTTATGTTTTCTTGTATGATGTTTCGAGGTCTTAGATTCGGCAATCATAGCGACGATATTGGTGTTATCGGTGGGTGAGGAAGAGGACCGAAGATCCCCCGCAGACGCACAGTGGGCAATTTTGGCTAGAGTAGGCGAACACATGCTATTAATTCAATAATAACTTTTGATAGAAAAGAGCTAGAGAGCTCTGGTTTTCGCCATTCGAAAGAGGAGACTTGAAAGCATATTTTTATAACCAGCATTGTTTCCAGAAGAGTTGTCTGAATAGGTTTTCTAGAAGATCTTTAGAAAACTAGGTGGTCTATAAAAACTTTCCATAGGATTGCATTGCTTTTTGTTATGCACCGATAGCCCGGGGTGTTCTTTTCAAAATGGGAGTAAAGTGAGACCTTGATTTTCCACGGTTCGGAAGTTGTATCGGATTCCCTACGAGCCCGAGGACTGGCATCCGGTGACTATTGGTAGCCTTGAAGACGGATGAAATATGGGTAATCGACCATGCTGAGCCTTCTGGCCATGTTTGTTTTTAGAAAAGTTCTAACAATCTACCGAAAAGCGATATTAAAACGTTCACTATTCAGCCAATAAAAATCAGAACGAGTTCAAAAACGAAAAACACCGCACAATTCAATAACAGATGAAAACAGATACATTTGTTCACTAAAACCCCTTAATTTCTCCACGATACCATTCCGGTCGGCGACCTCAAAACAAGTCATACATGTTTACTAAACGATACCTCTCTCATACTTCTCACACACAAGGCGACTAACAAAACATATGAAGCGATAGCCCTTGGAATTCTGAGAAAAAGACAAATTATAGCCTACTAGATAATATACTGTTCGATAGCCTGAGAAATTCTCTACAAACTGATATAGTCAGAATGTCTTGATCGGATGGTCCAGTGCACACAGAAATGGTACAGAAGCGTTCGACTACCGAAAATACCAGCAGACCATTCGTTTATTCAAGGTTTTCTGAGAAAATAAAACATTATACTCTTCTACATAATATACTGCTTCTATCAAATTCCCATAAAAAAAGAAGACAAAGGAAAAACGGCATTCATCACCACCTTCGGCCACTATCAATTCAATGCACTACCAATGGGACTATGCAATTCTCCACTGATCTTCCAAAAAATGATAACCAACACTTTGAAACCGTGCCGTGATTTCTCATTCATGTATCTCGACGACATCACGACGTATATTCCACTCATATGAACATCTCAATCATCTTGAAGAGGTCTTCACTGCTTTACGAAATAACAACATAACACTAAATCTACTCAGATATGAATTAGTGGCGGGAAAGATTAATTATCTTAGACATACTATAACATGTAATAAAGTAACACCTGTAGAAGATAAAATAATAACTATATTAGAAATGAAAGAACCAAAAACATTAACTAAAATCTAACAAATTTATAGGACCCTCAGCTGGTATCGCAAGTTCATTCCCAACTTGGCCACAGTGACAGCATCTATTCATGCTATAACTAATTTAAAAAAATCACATCGAAGAAATTTTAAATGGAAAGGAGCACAAACAAAAGCATTCGATGATTTAAAATAATTATTAATGTCACAACCATTGTTTCTAAATTTTCCAGTTGAAAACAAATCTATGGTATTAACTACTGATGCCAGTGGAATAGAAATTGGAGGAGTAGTACTTCAACAGAGGATTAATGGACAACGACAAAATCTTTATTATCATTCTCCTTGTGAAAGACGTTACAGTACGATTGAGAGAGAGGCATTGGCAATTTATAAGTGTAGATCGAGAATGAGACCTTTTCTGCTAGGCCGAAGTATTATAATAATGATGGATCATTGTTCTCTTTGTAACTTAATGAAAAAGAACGTCAAAAATTCAAGAGTTGACCGAATAGCTACCCTGATCCAAGAATATAGCATTGAATAAGTGATACATATAAAACGTCGAGAAAATTGTCGACCAGATTACTTATCCAGAAATCCAACACAGATCGATGATAAATTATTCGACGTTGATTAGGGCCTCCCGCAGCAGACGACATGTCCGTCTCATTGTGGGCATCCAGGCGGACATTTGGCACGAAAACGAAAGTACGTCCTTACATAATACAAACAGTGCCGGATATACATCGACGAATGTTCTATTTAATGGTGTAAAGCAATCTCAGGTGGAAAAATGGGATTGACCAACCCAAGCATAAGAAAAAAACAGAGTTGTTTAGTATGTGTATAGTGTAATATTGAAGTCCATGAAAATTACGGATTTCTGAAATTTGGATCACTATTGGCAGTTGACGTATATCATGTGTCTATGCAGACGCAAAGAAGGAAAAAGCGAACAAGAAAAATTCTTTCAATGATAAGTATAGTAGTAGTATAATACCCAAATTACCGAAAATACAGTATAGGGTGAAGTCACACAAAAAATACGTTAAAAAAAACTTTAATGATAAGATGTGTGTGTTATACAATGGAAAGAAAGATAAAAGAACCCTGGATAAACTTTTGTAAAGTAGAAGAAAGAAAATGTTCTTCTATTACATGTGCATATGTCCGTGTATGTATCTATTCGGTCTAAAGTTTTATCGCTTTGTGTTACGTCTGAAAACGAATGTATTGTAACAATTTTTGAAAAAGTACGAAAGAATGGAGAAGATTAATCTACTATAACAGGTAATATTCAAAAACCGCATTTATGCTGAAGAGTAATAAATGGTTATGCGATTTAAGGTAGAGGTTAACAAGTTGCAGTGCCTTTTATGCTGCGTAAAAAGCCGCGGTCAAAGCCATTTGTTCGAAAAAAAGGGTGTGTGTGTGGTTTATTCTATAAACGGAGCAGTTTATTGTTTTCTTGATAAATTGTAGGCCCTCAGGTGACAGCAGTTCGACTGAGTGGCAAGATGAAAATCGGCGGTGGGCCCCATTAGTGATAACAGTCAAGAACAATACATCGCCGTGATACGCAAGGTGAAGTTCATCCATAGCAAGATTTCTTTAGTAGATTGGGAAAAGATTGCCCAAGAGCGAAAGGAAGTAAACATATACGATGGCTTAAGGCTGGCGAGAAAGCGGGTGAAAACCAGCAATTAGTCAATAACATTGCTGCTTTTAATTAGCCCTCATCACATTAGGGCCAAGCAACCTATACAAAGCAACACCAGACGAGGTTTTAGAAAATCTGCTCGACAGAATTAAGGATGTTCAAGTATTTAGTATTGTTACTGAATCGGAGAACCGTACATTCGTATCTTCAAAATAAAATAACAACAACTACCTGCTTTCACTCAAATTCAGTCCATACCTAATGAACAATTAGCCACCGTTTTCATTTCAGAAGCTCACCACCTGCCATCTCCATCTTCTAAATGCTTTGGATCAATACAAAACTTAGGTCATCGAATATTTTCTGTAAATTCTATCATATTAGCCTGCGGAGATCCAGTTAACCCTTTGAATACTGGATTAGTTTTTGAAAAAGTAATCCCGCGATACCCCTGTAACTTAAGAACTATTATAGCGGGAAACTTCTAAGTTTATGTGAGCATAGCTCTTATGGAATGCTGATCAGCTGCAAATTTTGGGCCTCTTTCACTAAATGGTCCATGAGATATAAGCAGTTTATTTCTTCTCCGTAAAATATCAATAGCTCCTAACCTAGAGGAGAGGAAAACTTTTTCTTTTCACACAAATGCAATCACGACTTCACTCTATCAGTGATATGAATTTCGTGAGTTGGCTGTTAGGAGTCAGTGAAATACAGCTATTTTACGGACGAGTCTGATGTTTTTTTCTTGAAAATTCGAGATTCTTTGCGAAAGAAATTCACAATTTCGTCTATAGACGAAAAAAGCGTTACACAAATGTTGGAGAAACCAAATGTTATTGAATCATTGATGAATAATTTACATGAAACAACAAATCGTTTAGCAACTGATCACGACTTAATGTTCACATATCGAGACGCTCAACAGGCAAAATCGAATCCATCGTTACAACAACATGGTGATTCCTTTCTATTACAATTATACACTGACGGCGCAGGTATCACAAATCCAATCGGGCCAAAGAAAAACAAGCATAAACTCTCATTTTATTATTTTTTGTTCGAAGATTTACCGGACATAACACGTTCGATGTTACAATCAATTGGTTTAGTTGGATTATGCTATACAGAATATTTATCAACAAAATTAAATCGCACAAAATTTTTCGCACCAATTATAGAAGATTTAAATGCATTGCAAACATCCGGTCTTAGTGTTAAAACATTTGATGGTACATTACATTTTGCATTTAGCACTTTATCGGGTGACCATTTGGCATCGAACGAGATTGGTAATAAGAAAACTTTGAGACAATTAATCTTGGTTTATTCTATAAAAATAATTTGTTGTTTTCTAGGCGGTTTTCAAAGAAACTTTAATAGTGGTAATTTTTGTCTGCCACATTTCATATCGACAAAGCCTAATACCATTAACCGACATCAGTTTTTTACCAAGAACGAAAACAACTCATGATAAATACGTCCGAAAGAAACAGCTATCCAAAGGGAGAATTGTTGGTACTGCTAGTCAAAAGCTATTGTTATTTCGTCTTCTACCAGTTATATTTTATGATATTATTGAGCAACTTAAAACGTTGGAATTATATATTGGATTAAGAGAAATAATCAGTCATGTTTATGCAATGCCATTTGGTCAAAGCTGGCTAGAATATTTCAATTTTTTAACAACAAGATTTCAATGTTTATTTGTTAATATGCTGCCAAATAAAGTTATACCAAAGGTTCATTTTGTTACGGATTACGGACGATTAATTAATTTATGTGGGCCACCGATCCGCTATTGGTGTATGCGATTTGAAGCCAAACATCTGTACTTCAAACAAATCACATTGCGTTCATTTAATTTCAAGAACCCGTCTTTAACGTTAGCTAAGCGATATCAATTACGTCAATGCTTATTATTATTAAGCGCAAATTATCACAATTTTTTGGATGAAAATTATTCAACAAAAATTATTGAATATAGTAAATTACCACTATTAGTTTAACATTTATTATACAATAATAATAGTAATGAAGCGCAATATCTTGAATGTAAAACATTGATACATAAACATGTGAAATTCTCGAAAGAATCGGTTTTTATTGAAAAAGTAATCGAACAGGAAGATGTCCCGGTTTTTATTCGTATATTATTTATATTAAAAATTCGAGGTAATTGGAAGCTAGTTATTGAGCACTTACGTACGATATGGTTTAATGACAAATTATGGTCTTATCAAATTCAATATACACAAATACTCTCGATCATCGATCCAGAACAATGTTTATCCGTCTTACCACATGCACATGATATTTATGACGTTAATGAAGTACCTTTTGTTAATATTTTATCATGTGTAACAAGTCATTAAAAAATAATAAAAAATAATCTCCGTTCAGACTTAGCAGTTTTCTCATTCTTCCTAAGTTTCAGCCTAGTTTATAATTGTCTTTTAGGCAATGTAACGTACGATGTCGTTGTTTCTCATTGTGACTTTTTATTGCTCACAATCTGACAAACATTTGCTTTTCTTTCGCTTAGGTGAAGAAGCCGATGGAGAAACAGTATTGTTACTTCAAGAGAATGAAATACTACAAATATTCCCAAAATTAAAAGATCGTGTTAAATTTAAAAGTGAACGTCAGTTGTTATTTGGTAATACTTATGCGACCGATCGTCAAAGCCAACAGTTACAACAACTTCATTTAGTTTCGACTGAATTCGAGCAACCTTTACATAAAAACGATAATATACCAGCAACAGGACAAATTTTAACGATTGGGTTCATCGACGGTGAAGATTTTCTATCTGACAATAGTGTTACTGTTACCACGGTGGAGACGAACGAAAATGATCAAGAAAGCGATATAGGTATTAATAACCAAACAAATATTAATATACAACCATTATCAAGTGATTTTAAAATATTAACAATACCGCGAAAAGTACAACAAATCATTGATAATAATGATTTAATAAAGCTAGCTGGTCATACAAATCATCGTCGCATGTTACTTGAAGCCGTCTATAATGATTTAATAACAAGCTATGGCTTGCTGTTAGTATTCTTTATTTTGCCAATATGAGCAACTCGTAATATGTTGTAACTTTTATTGTTCTTCACTTCTGTTTCAGTTATCCAAACCAAAGAGATTATACAGTCATAACACAAGCCATACTCATCGCCCTGATTATCCCAATAACAAACGAAGCAGCTATGGTAAGATTTGACCATTCGTTTTGGTAAATTGATTTTCGTTGACAGTTATATTTTTTTCCTTTAGAGAGAATGGAAAGAAAGTATCAACGGGAAATTTAAACGTGAAAGAATACCACTTCAACACTCGTCAAAAGTACAATTATCAGAAGCTGTAAAGAAAGAAAATTGAAATATGGTAAACCAATTGGTCACCATGTTAAAAAAAGTTCAACTGGGGACTGCTCAACGTCGAAATGAAAATCTTGTAAGGGCCTATCTAAGGGGGATCTATCTGTAAGGGGAATCTATTCTCTCCTTAAAATGGCCACGTTATTTATTATCTGTTTTTAGGTGTATGTGAATAAAATAGACGACGAAGAAGGCGTTAGTATGATTCAATTAATGAAAGACGAACTGCACAGTGACCTACCAGCTATTGATACATTAAAGTCTGTGTGGAAGAAAACATTTGCTATTCGACGGATTTTTATTCGAAATCACACAATACAAGAAGTATTGTTAGAATACCCTGCTTATACATATCCATGATTGGTTAGTAGAAGCTGATGTTCTGTGTCGGATCCGTTTTCTAATTTACTTTTCTTTTCTAATGTTTTAGATATCTGAAGAAACATACCATAGTGATGGTGTTGATATTGAATCAAATGTGAAGCGTTTATTATCGTTGCTCTTTGATTGCTTACCGAGCAAATCAATGTTTGTTTCAGGCAAGTTATCCTCATATTTTTCACAGTTTCTCTTAGAGATGGGTCGTAATACGTAAGCCTCGAAAGAAAGGAACGAACGATTATTCGTTATTCACTATACCAATCTATGTTTCATTTATAACGAGTAAAGAATATTCGAATAATGAGTATACGAATACACGTCTGGAAAGAAAGAGAAAAGAACTTAAACATACGTAACAAACGTAATACGGATTGAACGTAACAGTAGTTTTCTCTTATATACGCTCAACGAAGAAACGTAAGAGCCAATGAGTAGGGAACTTCTTACGTTTCTTACGTAAGGAGCTCATTATTACGTTTAGTCGAACTACTTTCGTCTGTACTCACTCATAAATCAGTGATAGTATAGTTTGTCTTTTCCGAATGAGAACGAACGGAACTAAGTTATATGAATAGTCGACTATTCGTAATGAGACATAATGATGAAATGAAAAGAACGAAAGTGAGAAAATTCATCCTTCTGTCGCTTCGTATACTTCACATTAAACGTATTCGTTCTATTCGACTTCATTACGGCCCATCTCTAGTACAGACGAAAGTAGTTCGACTAAACGTAATAATGAGCTCCTTACGTAAGAAACGTAAGAAGTTCCCTACTCATTGGCTCTTACGTTTCTTCGTTGAACGTATGTATGAGAAAACTACTGTTACGTTCAATCCGTATTACGTTTGTTACGTATGTTTAAGTTCTTTTCTCTTTCTTTCCAGACGTGTATTCGTATACTCATTATTCGAATATTCTTTACTCGTTATAAATGAAACATAGTTTGGTATAGTGAATAACGAATAATCGTTCGTTCCTTCCTTTCGAGGCTTACGTATTACGGCCCATCTGTAGTCTGTACTCACTCATAAATCAGTGATAGTATAGTTTGTCTTTTCCGAATGAGAACGAACGGAACTAAGTTATATGAATAGTCGACTATTCGTAATGAGACATAATGATGAAATGAAAAGAACGAAAGTGAGAAAATTCATCCTTCTGTCGCTTCGTATACTTCACATTAAACGTATTCGTTCTATTCGACTTCATTACGGCCCATCTCTCGTTTTTCTACAATGGTATTATGCTTTAGATATATTGCCAATTCGTATACTGAAATTGTTATCGAAGAATTTTAGCGATCCATTAAATTATATTTTGTTCGATAAAGTAAACTTTCTTACTTTTTGCACTGCTCGTTGTCCACCGCTTCCTCACATAGCCACTTACCAAACATTTTATTCATTTAACATTTAACTAACACAGAGAAGAAAGAAAGGGGGACTGAATGCTAGGCTTCAGAAGTGAAAATGGCTTCTCACTCTAACTGAAAAAATGAATACTGCTAAACTATCTTGTTATTTGTTCCAGGAACCAGTTACGCCAAGACCATGCATTAAAATCATGGAGGAGAAATTCGAATTGTACGTAGATTGGCAGCTGATTACAGAAACAAACGATATTTATATAGCACTGGGATTATTATTAGCATTATATAACACCTTGGAAATTCAATTTGGTATACATAATCGTTGTGTTTCATTATTATTTGGGATCGTATTTGAAGACAGCAGTAAACTAACAAAAGGTCTTCGAACGTTAATTAAATCATGGAATTATACAATACAAAGTAAACCAAAAAGTAATATTGACCGAAATACAAAAACTAGGTCAGCGAATAGTCAATTTGTCATTGAATAAACAAATACTGCAGATGTGGATGATAACTGGAATATAAATGAAACAGGTTCTCAAATAAGAGCAACAACAGCACAGGATGAATACCAACGACATTACGAAATATTATTAACAACAACTCCAGTACCGCAAAGTGAAATTAGTGATACTGATTCCCTTCTTGATGAAACACCACCGTTATTTATTGGTCAGAATGTTGGAACAGAAGAAACAGTACAGATAAACAACGATAACCAATCTGTATACCAAACGCCATCCGTATTAACATCAAAAAATGATCAAAGCAATCCACTTGGACTGCAAAACACAAGAGAAACACTAGGAGAAAAAGAAAATACGAAACCTGAACAGAAAACAACAAGAAAACGTCGGCTAAATGCATCAATAAAGCGATCAGAACAGTCGACAAGTTTAAGAGCAACGAGAGCAAGAGAAGGCGTTTGATTTATAATTTTTATTTGTTTTTATTTTGTTATTTCATGATGATTGTTTGAAAAACCAGTAGAAAATAATCTGGGTAAAGGAGAGAGATGCAGCCTTCAAAACGTGATAATATAACTTCCTCCCTGCACCCCACCAAAAAAGCTCCACACGAGACCTTTCAGAGAACGGTACGAAACTCTGTGCACGAAACCTTTTCTGAACATACAAATATAGAAGATCCGTACTAAACCTATGCAGTCCGCAACCTTAAAATGGTTTCGAAATGGTTGGAAAATTCGGAACCTATTTTAGGTTCTGTAAAAAACCATTTTTTTTTAAGAGTGTAGGAGCATCATTTTGGCTTATAATTCGCATCAGTGACTCTACAGTATCTGTAGACTATCCAGCCAAAGTGTGAAGGTTAAGTATTGTGTGGGTCTGTAAATTCATTGAGGACGAGCGTCCGCGGTTGAACCATACGTAGAGAGCGAATGTTTTGAACTAGGGGTCGCTGTTTGTAATATACCATTTGCATTGAATGTACATCATAATCATGAAAAGCTATGGTTCCAAAAACCGTAGGTGAAACGTTTATCAGAAAGACTACACACTCACGTTAACTGTCGCTGTTTCAGTTATCTGGAGCCCGTTTCACTCCCCATGTATTTTCAAGCATCAACAGCTATTATATTATTAATTGGAACAAATTCGAATTTGAAATTCGACAAATTCACCCTCACCGTCACCCTCAGATAGAGCAATTCCTAACCTATATTCGTAATCATCACCAACATTTAAATATTGTAATTGTTTCGTCATTTCCTTGCAGCAAACCTACACAGATGTTTTTATCAAAGCATTCATTAGGCACAAACACTACTTTCTATAACAACCTGGTAACCACACTAGCTGCAAAATTAAATTTCACACCGTTAGATTTCAACACTGAAGAACGAAACTTAGATAGTGAGGAATACATTTAAATCAACAAAGTCAACATATCATCAGTGACTCTATCTTTAGTTATATTAACAGTTTCATAAGTACAGTTCCATGCCATTTACCATTTTAATCACTGTGTTTACAAGTATCATCCACTGCCACTCATATCAAATCAACAATCACGAACCACCATTAGAACAAGCTACTGAATTAAAGCAAAGCCTCGGTCAGCGGAATCAATCAAACAACGAAATAAAAATCATCGTCAAAAAGAAAAGAAAATATTCAAGAAATTCAAAACATATCGGAAAAACTATTACGATTTGACATGTTAAAACAATGCTTAAAGTCATAAAAAATATGAAGAAATACCAAACCACATATATGGCAACTTAAACATACTTTTTGCAACCGAAAAGACAAAAGAAGCTCCTCATAAACTTTTATTAAGTGACGGGAGGCGTCTTTGAGTCTGCGGCTTGCCGGAGGTTTGAGTTTTGTCGGTCCACCTTCGGCAGCGGGGAGGTGTTAGCGACAACTATCACCATAGTCATCGCATCTTCAGGCTACACTAGAGTGAGCCGTTGTCCTTTCTTGTCTTTCTGTGTATAGATCGCTGGTATTCAGTTTTTTCTCTCGGTCAGCCAATTCTCTTTCCTACAGTTAGATATATATATATGTACCCCTGTTATTCATTCAGTTCGTTGTTGTTTTTACTATTCATTCTTATTTTCGTTATATTTTAACATTCAACTTTTGTTTCGCTACATAAGAGACTTTTTCATTGTCTTTGCATTGAATGGATTCAATTTTCGCCAACGTTCACCAGTAGACATTCGCCACGAGACATCGCCAATATGGCGAATGTCTGTTGGCGAAAGTTGAATTGGCGAAACGCGACTTTACCACTCACAAATGTTTAAATGTCGCGTAGTGTGATTTATGTAGTAGAACGAAAGGAGCAAAAAATGATGCATTTCTTTTCGCTGTTATTTTTTGATCCGCATCGTATTTTCTGTGGTATTTTTTGTAGTTACAGGATGAGCAAACCGTTTTTCGGTCTAACTAAATACACGAATAAAGAACTATCCCTTTGCCTAGAATGTGAATGAGAAGACAAGGGGGAAGTGTTCAGAATTTATCGCAAGAAAAAAACTATTGAAATTTCGAAAATCACACAAGAAAGTTGAGATATCATAAATCTTGATATTAGGAACTATTTAGAGCAGAAAAACGCGCATATGCACACTCCAATGAATACTGAAGACAGGTATTGGCGATTGTCGCCGAGACATTCGCCATAATTGGCGATTCACTGATTATGGCAAATGTCCACACGACATTCGCCAGCCGCCAATATGGCGAATGTCTATTGGCGAAAGTTGAATTGGCGAAACGCGACTTCACCCATTGAATAGTGGGTAAGGCCCTAGTTTTTAACTCTTTGGTATGAGCTCTCACCCTAACAGACCGGGGTCTTCTCCACTGTCTCTTCCTGTTACTTAACCAGGAATCTCGGGCAGCGTTCATTGAGATCGAGTGTCTCGCAGAATAATTTCCTCTTTTATGAAATTTATGCCAGATTGATGTCTTGAGTATATTTCGCCACTTGCCAGATTTCTATATGAATTTTAGGATGCATTTCGCCCTTCCCAAAGGAAACACGAGATAATATCAGACTCTTGATCGATATTAAAAATTACCTCTTACCATGTGTGTTCTAAGAAAAAAACGAATGGACACTAGGGTACAAATGCATAAATATTCTAGTACAATTGCTTAAACTTTGAAACTATATGCACCGAACCGTCAAAGATTTTCTTTGATTTACGATCATCGCAGTCACTCAGACCGCTACTAATCGAGTTCTAATGCAGTAGAGAAAGACAAATCCATCACAATTCTCCATAAATGTGTTAGAACACTACAGTCTTGCTGTAATGTTTGGTCGTTAATGTTCAATATCTTTTTAACAATGATGTGATCAGCTGTACCCAAGCAGACAAACATTTGGAAAAACGCGTTTAAACGCTCAAAAGGGAACCGCGATTGTAAGTCAGTAACGCTCATTAAAAAAACGCAAGAAACGCGTTTTTTGCGCAAAATTTTCATTTTCAGACCGTGAAAACGGCGAAAACTCCAGTTTTTGAGCGTTAAAACTCATTGTTTTTAAATTCTGGAATAAAAGCGCGTTTTAACGCTCAACAACGGGAGTTTTCGCCGTTTTCACGGTCTGAAAATGAAAATTTTGCGCAAAAAACGCGTTTCTTGCGTTTTTTCAATGAACGGTACTGACTCACAATCGCGGTTCCCTTTTGAACGTTTAAACGCGTTTTTCCAAATGTTTGTCTGCTTGGGTAATGAGAGCTGACTATGAACATCAGCAAAAGAATTTAAGAAGAAATAAATAACGGTAGAGACCGTAACATCGGGAAAAAAAGATTGAATTTGGGAGAATATCTGTCCAGAATACGCCTTATTCAAAAGATTATGTCATTTCAGCAAAATTAATACAAATTCCGATATCAGCGCTATCATAATTTTCACATCTTCAGGACAATTGCCGATTCGCAAATTCATAACTTTTTGTGACACACCGATTTACTACAATATATTTAAGTTTTCCAATCCAATTACAGGGCAATGCATTTCGTAGCAAGCTTCCTACTACTAGCACTATTACGCAACCCGATACACTTACTTCCGCATCATTGCTCAATTTAACGTCCATTAGACCTAGTTAACACAATTAAAAGGAACATTTATCTAGATGCAACGTCCTGTGATGCACCCGATCAACACCATACTGTATCCAGATTCTTTATTCCGGAATATTTTTCGTTGGGTAATAGCAGAATACATTTGACATCAATGACATACATTATCGAATCTTCTTTTTTTCTATTAAGTTCCATTAACTTGATTGCTCTGTATATTTTTCAAAATGCGAACAAAAGAATGATAATGTGTATTAAATCAAGAAAAGAGCAAAGACATTATCAAAGTACATCGTCAATACAATAGTAACAGATTGTTGTTCTTTATGGCTATAATTCACAAACAAAGTGAATACATAACATAAAGAAAATAAATACAAAGAATACAAGCGATATCATTGTGTCATATGTCAAGAAAACATAACAGATGTCACCAACGTATCTAAAATAGTAACAGGCTGATACCCTTCTTCACTCTTGTTTACAAATATAAATACATCAAACGAACCGATCACACTGGTACCTACGCCATTACCGCTGCATCACAACGTGAACAAACAAATTTCAACACAATTTGACAGAAACACAAGAACACCATCAACCATGATCATATCAGTTGTTCTCAAGATCATAATCACCTTTACAATTCTATGCCAAATAGATGTAATAGTCCCCCAGCCAATACAACAAAACGGTAAGAGAAGCAAGACCAAAATCCAACAATAGACTTTACACGCGCTTGAAAGAACTCTAACAAACTTTTACATAAAAAATGCCACAACTCCCTTTCATAATTATCCTTTCATAGACGTTGTAACAGCAGCTGCACCACAAGAACTTCAGATTCAACATACATGCACCGACGATGACACAGATTCAAAGTCTCTGCTTTCAACCATTGTTGTATCTGATGATGAAACAAAAGATGTTAATAGTAATGATGTACAAGCGACGCTATCATCGACAATCGAAGATAAATGTAAAGACGATTTGAGTATACAAGGAAAAGATGAAAATACAATTCAATCGGTTGATGTAACAAAAGTCACTAAATTAAATGATACTCATTCAAGTATCGAAGTGAAAACAACCTGTCAATCGGAAACAGACAAAGAAACAGTAAAAGACTCGTTGGAAACCGTTGTTCAGAACGATGATGTAAGTAGCAGATTTCTTATCGATTGATTTACACTTGCCACAGTTAAAAAAACTACAAAATGTTAGTTCAGATAAACTGGCTAGTTTTATATTATGAATACAAATGAAAAACGTTAACACAGTCTTAAAACAAACTTTCATGCTATATTCCTTCTCATTTATTAAGGTGAAAGAAGTACTTGCTAAAACTACCGAAGAACCGGACATTGTTGCAACAGTAACTGTACCACAAGAACCTCAGATTCAACACACATGCACAGATGATGACACAGATTCAAAGTCTCTCCTTTCAACCATTGTTGTATGTGATGATGAAACAAAAGATGTTAATAGTAATGATGTACAAGCGACGCTATCATCGACAATCGAAGATAAATGTAAAGACGATTTGAGTATACAAGGAAAAGATGAAAATACAATTCAATCGGTTGATGTAACAAAAGTCACTAAATTAAATGATACTCATTCAAGTATCGAAGTGAAAACAACCTGTCAATCGGAAACAGACAAAGAAACAGTAAAAGACTCGTTGGAAACCGCTGTTCAGAACGATGATGTAAGTAGCAGATTTCTTATCGACTGATTTACACTTGTTCACAGTTAAAAGACAATGTGGTTTTCTTTAAACAAAAAATGCAAAAACTACAAAATGTTAGTTCAGATAAACTGGCTAGTTTCATATTATGAATACAAATGAAAAACGTTAACACAGTCTTAAAACAAACTTTTATGCTATATTCATTTATTAAGGTAAAAGAAGTGCTTGCTAAAACCACCGAAGAACCGGAGATTGCTGCAACAGTACCTGCGTCAGAAGAACCTCAGATTCAACATACATGCACAGATGATGACACAGATTCAAAGTCTCTCCTTTCAACCATCATTGTACCTCATGATGAAACAAAAGATGTTAATAGTAATGATGTACAAGCGACGCTAACATCGACAATCGAAGATAAATGTAAAGACGATTTGAGTATACAAGGAAAAGATGAAAATACAATTCAATCGGTTGATGTAACAAAGGTCACTAAATTAAATGATACTCATTCAAGTATCGAAGTGAAAACAACCTGTCAATCGGAAACAGACAAAGAAACAGTAAAAGACTCGTTGGAAACCGTTGTTCAGAACGATGATGTAAGTAGCAGATTTCTTATCGATTGATGTACACTTGTTCACAGTTAAAAAGACTACAAAATATTAGTTCAGATAAACTGGCTAGTTTTATATTATGAATACAAATGAAAAACGTTAACATTGTCTTAAAACAAACTTTTATACAGTATTCCTTCTCATTTATTAAGGTGAAAGAAGTGCTTGCTAAAACTACCGAAGAACCGGACATTGTTGCAACAGTGCCTGCGTCACAAGAACCTCAGATTCAACATACATGCACAGATGATGCAACAGATTCAAAGTCTGTGATTTCAACCATCATTGTGCCTCATGATGAAACAAAAGATGTTAATAGTAATGATGTACAAGCGACGCTATCATCGACAATCGAAGATAAATGTAAAGACGATTTGAGTATACAAGGAAAAGATGAAAATACAATTCAATCGGTTGATGTAACAAAGGTCACTAAATTAAATGATACTCATTCAAGTATCGAAGTGAAAACAACCTGTCAATCGGAAACAGACAAAGAAACAGTAAAAGACTCGTTGGAAACCGTTGTTCAAAACGATGATGTAAGCAGCAGATTTCTTATCGACTGATTTACACTTGCCACAGTTAAAAAGACTACAAAATATTAGTTCAGATAAACTGGCTGGTTTTATATTATGAATACAAATGAAAAACGTTAACACAGTCTTAAAACAAACTTTTATGCTGTATTCATTTATTAAGGTAAAAGAAGTGCTTGCTAAAACCACCGAAGAACCGGACATTGCTGCAACAGTACCTGCGTCAGAAGAACCTCAGATTCAACACACATGCACAGATGATGACACAGATTCAAAGTCTCTGCTTTCAACCATCATTGTGCCTCATGATGAAACAAAAGATGTTAATAGTAATGATGTACAAGCGACGCTAACATCGACAATCGAAGATAAATGTAAAGACGATTTGAGTATACAAGGAAAAGATGAAAATACAATTCAATCGGTTGATGTAACAAAGGTCACTAAATTAAATGATACTCATTCAAGTATCGAAGTGAAAACAACCTGTCAATCGGAGGCAGATAAAGAAACAGTAAAAGACTCGTTGGAAACCGTTGTTCAGAACGATGATGTAAGCAGCAGATTTCTTAGCGATTGATTTCTACTTCCCACGAGGACTTGCCCGACAGAAAAGGCGCCTTCTCCTGGATAAAAAAGTATCACAGCCGTTGTCACACTACGATATGTGAGAATAAATAGAGAGCGATATTCGCCCATGCTGGTTTTAGATATATATATCCCAGTATGTCGATGCCTCACTAATAGATGCGAGTGTGGCAATGGAAACAATAGGGTTTTTATTGCTTGAGTTTGTATTTAAGGAGAATAAGACAATTCTTACGTTTGAACGGAGCTGTTTAAAGTCCATTGCTATTTACAATAATCTTTTCAAGTATATAAACCGAACGTTAAACATATCGAGACCAACGATATCTTTCAAGACAAAATTGCTTTTTTCAATAAAACATGTACTCGATACCATTCATTTATTTACACTAGGAAAAAGTTGCTTAATTATGTTGAGAGTATCGGTGTAGCGTCGCATGAGACATGTATGCTTTATTAGAGCATTTTATTCTTATAAAATGAAACATAATTAAAATAATTAATGTCGAATTATTAGTATCGTCCATTTTGAGTAAAAACTACCATAACAAATAAAACACTAACACCAAGACAGTTGGATTTATCTTAAGTGTAACCACCCTCCTCTCTTTTGCAAAACCTTTTCATTTTGAGCTGAACGTAGGTTAATGCAGAGGAAAGTCTGGGCTATAAAATAAGACCACTTCCAGCACTGTACGATCTTTCTTGAAAAAATTATGAAGCTTTTGCTTTTCCTTCAAAGCTTAGAAAATCTCAATTTTTTTACTATTCCAATACATTGGAATAAAAAAGATATATAGATGTATCGTAACTCATCTGTATCTGGACAAAAACAAGGTATGGGTTCCTATTGTGATCGACATGGTTCTGTTGGCGGTAGACAAGGATTCATCGCTACAACGAGCTGTGTCTCTTATGCGCGATCTACTTCAATGGTCTTTTATCTAGCTGAGTGAAAGCCTTATCTACACAACAATTCAATCTCGGTATAGAGTCATGAAATTTCACTAGCTGTATCTAGACACCTATGTTTATCGCAATAGGTAGGAAGCTTATTCCGATAACGTACATAGAATGATATACCAAAGTAGATCTACAGGTCTCGATAGTGAAGTTATCGCAATTAACAGGATAGTTATCGCGATATTGTCGATTTTTTTCACTAATATCGAGTTATATCGCCCTATACTTGCTTACAACGTTTTCATGCGATGTTCTTAGTCAAACGGAAATGTGGTTTTCTTTAAACAAAAAATGCAAAAACTACAAAATGTTAGTTCAGATAAACTGGCTAGTTTTATATTATGAATACAAATGAAAAACGTTAACATTGTCTTAAAACAAACTTTTATGCTGTATTCCTTCTCATTCGTTAAGGTAAAAGAAGTGCTTGCTAAAACTACCGAAGAACCGGACATTGTTGCAACAGTAACTGCATCACAAGAACCTCAGATTCAACATACATGCACAGATGATGCAACAGATTCAAAGTCTGTGATTTCAACCATCATTGTACCTCATGATGAAACAAAAGATGTTAATAGTAATGATGTGCAAGCGACGCTATCATCGACAATCGAAGATAAATGTAAAAAACAATTGAGTACACGAGGAAAAGATGAAAATACAATTCAATCGATTGATGTAACAAAGGTCACTAAATTAAATGATACTCATTCAAGTATCAAAGTAAAAACAACCTGTCAATCGCAGAAAGATAAAGAAACAGTAAAAGACTCATTGAAAACCGTTATTCAACACGATGATGTAAGTAGCAGATTTCTTCTCGACTGATTTACATTTGTCTACAGTTAGAAGAAAACGTGGTTTTCTTTAAAGAAAGAATGCAAAAACTACAAAATGTTAGATTGGATTTAAAGGTTTGATTGGGATCAAGCACGTCGACGATAATGTATCTCATGGGTAGCCAGTCTCATTGTTTTAGTTTTAGTGTGGACATGTTTATTCGAAACAATGATTTCGGGGTCCACTATACTGTTTTGGGCCATCTGTCTCAGTAATGGGAACTTGATAGTACCCACTGTTGAAGTGAGATTTAATGAAATATGTTCATCCTGACGATTTATTTGTGTTTTCGCGGTGGTTCAGAATTATCGTTGATTGTCTCCGGATTTAATTTTCGAAAATCAATAGTAAAGGGGGATGAGCCATCTTTCCTCTACTAGGGCGACGGGTGACGACCATGCTGAATAAGATGATTCCGATTTCCTCTTGTAATAGTTGTTTAACCGTTTCTTCAGTGATTTCGTTATTGTTCGGATTTCGTGTATAATATGCTGAGGTGATGGCACGACCGCATTCTTCCAGATCAATGGTGTGTTCACGCGTTGTATCAAATATTTTGACTTTCATCTTAACAACATTCTCACATTTTCATGATCAACACGGTGGTCACTGGACGCGACCAATTTATCAATGTCATAACAGACAGACGTCGGTGCTTCAACTTCGGTGCTTCAGACTTGTTTACTCCGATTTTCGATCTTTTTCCAATGATCCAATTCCCGTAGATAATTAAACATTTGTTGTCCAGATGGAAATTGAAGGCAACATTCTGGGCATTGATGTTTATCTTGATTTAATTGCAATAGCTATGACTGTTGCAGTTTTTCATCAGAATTAAGCAGAGCACAGTACACCCTTGAGGATGGAGATGGAACCCTAAGATACAGGCGATATGTTTAGATAACACGCTAGGAATACGGAAGCATCAAGCGTGTTATTAATGACATATAATTGCCAACTTTGATCAATGTATTTGGGAAAAGAACTTCATATTTGTACATCGTTTACATATTGGATATAAAAACAAGAGTGTCCGCATCATGCACTAGTACTCGTATTTGAATTTGTACTTCTTGTGTGGGTGCGAGTCCAACAGCGTGAAGAAATACAGCGATTTTATTTTATCGTTTAGTTCGAAAAATGGAACCGACGCTTTCTGGCCGTATTGAGTTTTCCATGCAACAATTCGCACTCCGCATTTGATATTTATATTGTTTTCTTATGCCCAATCATTCCCGAGCAACACTGGCGTACATAACTCTTTTGAGACTTCGGTTTTAACAAATGCTAGAGCCGTATCAATTTTGATTTTCAACCCTACAGTGCCAGTTGTTCTGCGCGCACCGTTATTTGCGGTAGAATATTTTCGATGCTCGCTTTTGACTTTATGATTGTGGGAGATATTCTTAACAGTGTCATGACGACTGATTATTATTCCTGAGCAGGTATCTACCATCAACCGTCGTTGAGCGTTCCATTGACCGGCACTTCAATTATTACAGGTGACGAATTTTTCTTTGACTTACGGACAAGGCCATCTACCACCGTCCTCCTCTGCCTTTTAAACGAGGCTGAGTTGGACAGTTACGACGAAAACGGTCATGTTGTCCACAGTGGGGCTTATTTAGTCATCTTTGGTTCCCTTTTCTGCACAGTGTAACAATACGATGACAATAATCAATGTCAGACTCATTTTCTCGTTGGCTTGCATTCTTTTGCTAGAAATATGCTTGAACAGAGTTTGTTTCAAGCGGTAGAAGAAATCGCACTATCAGGCCGAGAACCAATTCCTTCCGTGTGTTGAACAAGTTTAAACGATCGCGAAACCAATCAGTTCCTTTTCGCTGTACTTTCTCTCGAATTTTCTTCAACCGATTAAACTCAACCTCAACGACATAAGGCAAAAATACGTTGGCAACAGAGCCAATCCACTTTCCTGAAAATTTAACTGATTCTCAATGAAAATTCACCAACTCACCTAGCGCGCGATAAGATGCGCCTTAGGACATTCATACTGCTTGACCACTTGAATTCGCTCAGGACCATCTCCGAGTCAGAAAAGAATTAATCTACCGGTTAATATAGTCTTAAAATAAACAAATATGCTGTTCTCATGTCTTTAGGTAAAACGCGTGCTTGGTAAGCCTACCAAAGCACCCAAAAATGTTCCAAGAACAGCTGTAGCAAAAGAAGTTCGAATTCGTCATACATGCAGAGATGATAAGACAGATTCAAAGTCTGTCCTGTCAACCATTGTTGTATCTGCTGATCAAACGAAAGCTGTGACTAGTAGTGCTATAAAAGCGACGCTGTCATCGACAATCAAAGCTAAATGTAAAAGCCAACTGAGTGCACGAGCCAAAGACCAAAATACAATTAAGTCGGTTGCTGTAACAAAAGTCACTAAATTAAATGGTACTCATTCAAGTATCGAAGTGAAAACAACCTGTCAATCGGAGAAAGATAAAGACACAGTAAAAGACGCGTTGCAAACCGCTGTTCAACATGCTGATGTAAGTAGCAGATTTCATATCGATTGATTTCCTTTCCACTTGTCCATAATTACAAAATGCCGTATTCTTTTTTAAACAGAGAATGCAAAAACTACGGAACGTCAGATTGGATTTTAAGATTTGCAAGATTTTTTTTCAAAGCGTTTCATAGAAAATCTTTGAAATATATATCGTTCGATTCAGTTTTCAATGCTGTTTCCGAATAAGACTTGGTTTTGTGAGAAGTAAAATTTTGAGGGGGAATGGGTGATTTACGGGCTTTGTTTTGGACAGATTCGTCATTTTTTCTACTTTTGATAATCGCCAAAAAACCGTGTTGCACACAACGTTTTCAAAAACACGTATCACAGAAATACACAACTCGTGAGGTGTACAAGACCTGCAACGTTTTTTTTTGAGGGCTTTTCGAAAAGTCTAAAGTGGGAGTAGTTGTGTCGACCTCAACAATAATGGTACTTTGCGAAAATCCATTATTCTGACTACTAGTTTGAGTTTAAAATTTTTCTGAATATGAGATCTTGTTCAGTTATTTCTGCTCTTTCGAGCTTTGAATGAAATTGTCGAATTTATTGAGAAAAATCTAATTTAAAGCGATTTTTTGGACTTTTCCGCCAGTTTTACGGAAAATTTCGATTTTCCATAGAAAAAAAACGTATTAAAAGTGGAAACGGTTTTTCTTTACCTATTCTCAACTGAAAAATCAACCTGAAATAGTTTGACAACGAAAACATATTATTTACAGCATTTTCTGTGTTTTGGTCATTTCCAGCCAATATTATTAAACATCCAACTTTGTTCAGATTTGTGCGCTCTTGCAAATGAAATGTTGTTCAAAAAAATTGAACGACAACTCACAGTTATATACATAAAAAGCTGAAATCACTTGCAAGATGTAGTCTATGTTAATATTTGAAAATTCGTGATGAGAAAAAGGTATATCCAAAAGACAAAATGCACAGCTCTGAAATCTCTGTCGGTTGAGTCGCCACTTGCGTACTTCGTTGGATCCCAATTGCCTCAAAAGTCGAAAAGAGTTTCGACCGTTTATTTTATATGGCACCCGTTCACAGACTCTTTCTCGTTTCTTCAGATAAAACGCGTGCTTGCTAAGCCTACCAAAGCACCCAAAAGTGTTCCAAGGGCAGCTGCACCAAAAGAAGTTCGAATTCGTCATACATGCAGAGATGATAAGACAGATTCAAAGTCTGTCCTGTCAACCATTGTTGTATCTGCTGATCAAACGAAAGCTGTGACTAGTAGTGCTATAAAAGCGACGCTGTCATCGACAATCAAAGCTAAATGTAAAAACCAACTGAGTGCACGAGCAAAAGACCAAAATACAATTAAGTCGGTTGATGTAACAAAAGTCACTAAATTAAATCGCACTCATTCAAGTATCGAAGTGAAAACAACCTGTCAATCGGAGAAAGATAAAGACACAGTAAAAGACGCGTTGCAAACCGCTGTTCAACATGCTGATGTAAGTAGCAGATTTCATATCGGTTGATTTCTTTTCCACTTGTCCATAATTACAAAATGCCGTATTCTTCTTTAAACAAATAATGTCAAACCTACAGAATGTTAGATCGGATAAACCGGCTGGAGTCATGTTGTTGCTTTCTATCTGGTGGCGCACAATAAATGTTCCAAACGATTCTTGAATTTCTGAGGTAGTTCCCATGCAACCAGATACGTAAGTCTCAGCGCATCGGACAAAGATCTGAAAGCTGTAGAAATAGGAAATCTAGTAGTATTCCCGAAATTCGCGGTGAGAAAAGAATATATCTAAAACACAAAATATACAGCTATCCAATGCTATTAAGTATCAAACTTTGTTTAGTTTTGTGCGCTCTTGGGGATGAAATGTTGTTGAAAAAAATTCAACGACAAGTCACGGTTATATACATAAAAAGCTGAAATTCGGCAGTTTGGGGTTTTAAAAAAAGAGTTGTTACAGTCTTGGATCCTCTATTGCTTCTCATTTGTTAAGATAAAACGCGTGCTTGCTAAGCCCACCAAAGCACCCAAAAGTGTTCCAAGAGCAGCTGCACCAAAAGAAGTTCGAATTCGTCATACATGCTCAGATGATAAGACAGATTCAAAGTCTGTCCTGTCAACCATTGTTGTATCTGATGATCAAACAAAAGATGTGACTAGTAGTGCTGTAAAAGCGACGCTGTCATCGACAATCAAAGCTAAATGTAAAAGCCAACTGAGTGCACGAGCAAAAGACCAAAATACAATTAAGTCGGTTGATGTAACAAAAGTCACTAAATTAAATCGCACTCATTCAAGTATCGAAGTGAAAACAACCTGTCAATCGGAGAAAGATAAAGACACAGTAAAAGACGCGTTGCAAACCGCTGTTCAACATGCTGATGTAAGTAGCAGATTTCATATCGATTGATTTCCTTTCCACTTGTCCATAATTACAAAATGCCGTATTCTTTTTTAAACAAACAATGTAAAAACTACGGAACGTCAGATTGGATTTTGAGATTTGCAAGATTTTGTTGAGAGATAGCTTCGCTTTGGACATACATATTTTTTTTCTCACCGCGCATCATTAATTATTATCATATAGTGCATAGATCGACATAGAATTCTAGTTCCTATACTTCTCTGCCTTCTATAAGATTTCGGTTCAGCCCTTGTAGTTCAGCAAATAGTAGGTCCAAACTGTGACGTCCTGGTGTTGACGCGTCATTTCTTCCAACACAACTGGATGTTTGAAATATTTAATTTTGCACAGTTAAATCATAAGTTGAATGCTGAACAAAGTGATGTAAAAATCTAGTGATTTGCTCGAAATTTCGAACAAACTCTTTCAAGATAGGTTAACCACGAGTTTATCGATCGTTTTACGTCACACTTGCAAGATGTAGTCTATCTTAATATTTGAAAATTCGCGATGAGAAAAAGGTATATCCAAAAGACAAAATGCACAGCTCTGAAATCTCTGTCGGTTGAGTCGCCACTTGCGTACTTCGTAGGATCCCAATTGCCTCAAAAGTCGAAAAGAGTTTCGACCGTTTATTTTATATAGCACGCGTTAATATAAATACAAATCAAAAAACTTAAAGTAGTCACTGGTTCATATAGGGTAGTTTCCTTTAAATAAGTGACTCAAACCTACACAATGTTGAATCGGGTAAACGGTTGTGGCTATAATTCATAACTGTATATTCGTAATAGAAATGAAAAGATTGTTGGTCTTTTATACTGCATTCTTTCTCATCTGTTAAGATAAAACGCGTGCTTGCTAAGCCTACCAAAGCACCCAAAAATGTTCCAAGAACAGCTGCACCAGGAGAAGTACAAATTCGTCATACATGCAGAGATGATAAGACAGATTCAAAGTCTGTCCTGTCAACCATTGTTGTATCTGATGATCAAACAAAAGATGTGACTAGTAGTGCTATAAAAGCGACGCTGTCATCGACAATCAAAGATAAATGTAAAAGCCAACTGAGTGCACGAGCCAAAGACCAAAATACAATTAAGTCGGTTGATGTAACAAAAGTCACTAAATTAAATGGTACTCATTCAAGTATCGAAGTGAAAACAACCTGTCAATCGGAGAAAGATAAAGACACAGTAAAAGACGCGTTGCAAACCGCTGTTCAACATGCTGATGTAAGTAGCAGATTTCATATCGGTTGATTTCTTTTCCACTTGTCCATAATTACAAAATGCCGTATTCTTCTTTAAACAAATAATGGCAAACCTACAGAATGTTAGATCGGATAAACCGGCTGGAGTCATGTTGTTTATCTTTCTATCTGGTGGCGCACAATAAATGTTCCAAACGATTCTTAAATATCTGAGGTAATTCCCATGCAGCCAGATGCGTAAGTCTCAGCTGATCGGAGGGTGATCTGCAAACTGTAGAAAAAGGAAATCTAGTGGTATTCCCGAAGTCCGTGATGAGAAAAGAATATAAGTTTTCTAAAACACAAAATGTACAGCTCTGAATTCTGTTTCGGATCAGTCGCGACTTTCGTGTTTCGTTGCATCGGAATTGGCGGAAAAGTTGAAAACATTTTGGAGGGTTTATTATATGGCACCCTTTAATATAGATACCAACGAAAAGAGTTAACATAGTCACTGGTTCATATTTCAAAAATAGCGTAGTTTTCCAAAAATAAGTGACCCAAAACCCCACAATGTTGATTCGGATAAACTGGTTGTACCATTGATGCTTATCTGTATATTCGTAATAGAAATGAAAAGAGTTGTGACAGTGTTTTATGGTGTATTCCTTCTCATTTATTAAGGTTAAAGAGGTGCTCTGTAAGCCGAAGCACCGTTAATTGTTGCACGAATGGCTAGATGAAAGAGGTTCATATTTAACATACGTTGGCTTATATGCGGAACTAATCGCTTGTATGATATGAAAAATTGTGTATTTTTGTTTTTGAACTGAACTTTGTTTTTTGTAAAGGTTAGTTTTTTTTTTGATGAAGTATAGTTTATTCTACTGCTTATCTGTGTGAATGATGCTGTGTAATTAGTAGAATGATTAATAAATTTGACGTACCATGACAAGCGACAGGTGATGACCCCGCCCCCTCATCTATTGCTGCTGGTTCGAATTTCATGGGTGATAAACTTTTAGTGCTCTCATGGGGCGAAGCCGGTACCATGACTTCTCTAAACATCGTTTCTCTCGTAAATGGTTCTCGACAGACTTTGGGTTTACTTCCGAAGATACTCAAGAACGTCTCAGAACAGAAAAAACGATACTAGACTGCTTTTGTTAATCAAAAAGATCTTAGTTTTGCATTTGTTCCTGCACGTTTCTAACCTGAAGGTTTTATTATTATCGGATATAAACCTTGTTCACGGCTACTTTTGTTCTCTATCCTTTTTGGTTGACGACCATATTTTCTGGCATAATACTCTTGCATATGTGGATCATCGAACGGCTGATACAAAAGAAGTTTTTTGGAAGACCGACGTTATAAAAACAGTTCCATTTAAATGATGTTTTGCAAATTTTCTGCGTATAACATACTTGTTGAACAGGCAGAATCTCGTGGAGAAGAAGAAGGGTGAACAACTAAACTAGACATAAGATTATGTGGTTAACAAAACTACGTTTAAGTGTAAAGATGATTCACCATGCTGACTTGATGATGGCGGATGAGACGTGTATACATTTGAATAGGTGGTGGGTACAATAAAGGAGACGAGTTGTAACTGATAACCATGTAAGGATGCAGAAGACTGGGAACATTGCCCCATACTATGTTTAACAGCAGAAGAACTTGTGGAAAACTACACTATCTGATGATGTTAGTTTTTCTATACAAAGTCTGAAATAAATGAACAGGTAAACATCCAAGAATAATCTCTCTCTTTGTGAAAAAGGTCAAAAACTGTTCATGATAAAAGGGAAAACTTTACAAGAAGAAATGCTTTAGGAAAAGCACAATTTTGCGCATTACATTTGCCAGCATACGTTGTATCCATGTGAAAACCTTGAAAATATTTGCTCAAACATCTACAGATCAGTCCAGTGGATTGTTACTATCCAAAAAAACAAGTGTTCACATGTAAAAATGTCCACGCGCCTTAGTGAGCAAAACTTTCTAGAACACCATAAACAAAAAACTAGGATTAAAAGTCTCTTAATTTCCATAAGAAAACCACAATATTGTCAATTTGGAGAGCAAGTCTGGTTTTCCAAAAATTTTCATAACCCATTTTTGAAAAGGGATTTGAACTAGTTTTTTCTTACGGTAAAACATCTTCAAGTCTCCTCCTTCGATTGGCAGAACTCAGAAATTCCTAACTAAAATCTTAATATAACCGAGGACATCCTTGTTGAAACTGGTATGCACTGGTCGAAATCTTCATAAAAACTAGGTAGAATTAAAATTTTAGTCCGTTTATTTTAAATCGGTTTTAAAATCGGCCGTGACTTAAAAACTTCTCTATTGCTAAGTTCTCTTTGACAACTACTAGTAAAATGTTCCGTCTACAACTTGAAATTCCCGATGAAAAGCATATTCTCCCGCATTAACTTGCGGAATCACACTTATTGTTTTCCACCGAGTATACCGTTTGTCTCGAAAGCTATTGATTTGTCCATA